TGTATACGGAAGTTCGACCTTTACAGAAATAAGCTCGACCGACGGTTCAGAACCTTCCTGCGTAAAACCATCGACCAAATACCTAAGCCCACAATGGATACCGACAACCATCGTCGGAAGCAGAGAAAGCTCCCTCCCGTAAGCTAGTTGAACGGCAGGGAAGAGCACCTCGAGAGGTAAGGCGTCAGAAAACTGATATGGAACGACACACTTCTTCAACCAAATAGCAAGATAACCTGCTAACAGAGTCCTGGGCTGAATAGACTTCTGTGCATGACAAAGAAATGTCCGAAACTTGGTCCCTGCAGGAAAAGATCCCTAACACTGTCAGTAGTGTAGGAGCAAGCTTCGGCCTTTTCCATCAACTCATTAATGGAAAAAGGTGTCAAAATGTCTGTCTAACTCACAAACAGTTTCGCTGGGATCACCCTCCAAATGCTGGAATAGATAAACAGCGAACTGCTTCAAGCTGATCTGTCTCTTCCTCTTCGCTTGAGTGGTAACCTTGATTAGAGATGTATAATAATGGCATGTATAAACTTGAGACTTGATAAGTGGAAAACAGAGATTGATTAGAGCAAACGTGAATATTAGCTCCAGTGTCAATCCACTAATCATTTGCTTGAAAGGTCATGTTTACTTCATGGGTGAAGAGAACAGACCTGAAAGCAGTTTTAGCTGAACTGGAAGTCACCATGTTTACTTGTGACTTATTAGGTAGAGGTCCTCCCATCCTAGGCTTGGGTGGTTCTGTCTTCTTGTAATAACAGTCCTTAGCAAGGTGGTTGGTTCGTCCACAAACAAAACATGCTCGATGTTCAGCTCCTTCCTTATTTTGAAAGTGGACAGGGTTCTAACTTTGATGAAAGGATTTCTCCTTAAATGTTTTACTTTGATTTTGGTGTAAGGGATGTTTCTTGTGTTTGGAAAAAGGTTTGGATTCAACATTGTTTACTTTGGGTTATTTGGGTTCGGATTTTGTTTCATTTTTCTCCCTGAGTCTATGTTGCTCTTCGATTCTAATGGCATTCAACACTTGTTCAAGGGTAAGATCTCCTTGGGTATGATTAAGATTTTTGGCAAAATCTAATCAGGATTCGGGAAGTTTGTCTATAAGACAGGCTAACTGAAATGTTTCATCTAAGATAGATCCATTCATTTTTAATTGGTGAACTATATGTTCGAATTCATAAATTTGCTCATTCATTGGTTTAGAATCTACCATTTTAAATTTGTTAAAATCAGAAGCTTTAAATCTTTTAATTCCCATATCATCTAAACCATATTTTTTCTCTAGTGTTTCCCACAAAACTTTAGCATTAGTGATAGTATAATATATATCATATAACCTATCAGATAAAGCTCCTAAGATTCTGTGTAGACAATGATACTCTATTTCTTGAGGTGTTCTTGGGATAGGAATGGAATCTGTGGAGGAAGATGAGGAAGATTGCCTAGTAACTAGTCCAGATGAAGATGGGTTATCTGGTTCTATGGCTGTTATTAGATGTAGAGTTGTTAACCAAAATCTCATTTGGTTTTGCCAACGACGAAAATTATTCCCATCAAACTTCTCTGGTTTAGCAGACATAACTTCACTTGTAGCCATAATCTGATGATGAATGAATATTAACATATTTATATGTGTTCTCATTGTCCTTTTGTATGTGAGTGGTGTTTAGCATATTTTTCATCTATGCTTGCTCACATATGTTTGCCATGATCTTCATTTCATACATTCATGAGGCATTTTGATAGGGGGAGCAATCCCTATATATATATTCTTTTTATACTCACCTATGCTTATTGATAGGGGGAGCTTTCGCTCTCTTATTCTTTTTGTCCCCTTTTTGATGTTGTCAAAGGGGGAGAAATATTGTGAGTATATAATTTTCCTTGTTTATATGCATGTGTATTATCTTGTATATGTTCATTTTCTTCATGCATATATTCCTTTTTGTAAATTGTTTGTCATCATCAAAAAGGGGGAGATTGTTGGCCTTCTTGTTTTGATGATGTTTAACAAACAATTTACCACTAATGTTGTTTGTCTAGTATTTGTATTTTCCTATGTATTGTAGACAAACAACGTAGTTGGAGGATGGATGGATTGCGCCATAACGACGATATCAAATGGAGGTTGGCGGAATTATGGAGTGAAGCATCGTACAATTCAAGTTCAAGATCCAAGTTTAGCTTCATCCGCAACGTATACCAAGTTGAGCTACAATGAAGATCAAGATCATTGCTTGGGTATATTTAGTATAGGTTTATATCATGTGTGTTAATTCTATAAGCTCAAACATACACACACATATATATTTGTGATTTTCGTAACTATAAGTGTTTTTATGCAAAATAAGTTTTGGACTATATTTACATCATAAACAACTTTTATTATGTCCATATAAATATTCCATAAGTTTTCAAAACTTGTTTTGAGTCAAAAATAACAATCACATGTTTTTCATATATACGTCTTTTAGTGCTTTTGCAGAATACAGTGTTTTTCACAAATTATAAATGCAAATTGAGAAATTATTTTTCTAACATGTTTGTTTTCATGTTTACAAACATTTCTCAAAGTTTCGTCAAGTTTGGAATTGATTTGTTATGTTTAATGGAATTTACAAAATCATAATTTTCATTCGTGCATGTTCGTGCATGTTTTACAAAATAGATGAGTTTTAATAAATGGAAAATGATATTCAAGAAATTCTTTCTTTGACATGTTTATCTACATGTTTAGAAACTTCCCTCAAAATTTTACTATTTTTGAAGTTGATTTACTGTGCCTAATTGATTTTACAAAATCGTGTATCACAGCAGATTTTCAGAAACTGTATTTTTGTGTTCAAACATTTATTTCTCTCAACTGGGAAAAGATTTTTCAGAAATTCTTCCTCTGACATGTTATTCTACATGTATAGAACATTCCCACAATGTTTCATAATTTTTGGAGGTCATTTACTATTTTAAATTGATTTTACAAAATAGCTGCATATTGCTACAGTAATCCGGTCGACCGGACCGGTCGATGGACGTTGGTTACTGTAGCTAACGGCTATAATTCCCAGATTTTGATATATCCGTTTTTTTATCTTTTTGCTTGGTTTTCTTGGGTTTTTGGGCTTGTTTCATGAGCCTATATATACCCCATGCCCTCATACTTCTAAGGGCACTCAAGAAATGTTTTAAACAAGTTTAAAGAGTTTTAAACAAGGGTTTAAGTGTGTTTTAGTGTTTGTTTGGTTTGAAGATTGTTTTCACAAGTGGAGGAGATCATCTTCTTGTTTGGGCTCCAATCTCCATCTCTCCATCTTGTCATCTATTGGAGAAGTTTTCTAAACTCTATCTAGCTTTACATTTGCTTAGTTATTTGATTATCATTCTTTAAAGCTAGTTTTTATATTGAGTTTAGATTTGATTATATTATCTCATTGTTACACACACCCACTTGAGCTTATTGTATTTGCATACATAGTATATTAGGGTTGTGAGAGATTGTAACATTGAGTTTGTGCTTAATTGAGTTCTCATCTATTGTAGAGAACAAATTTATATTTGTTACATTGTGAGTGGTGTAAGGTTTTCGGTGAGCTAGAAAACCGAGTGTGTTGTGAAGTTTTCGGTGAACTAGAAAACCGAGTGTGAGGAGTGACGTTGTTCGGTGAGCGTTGAAAACCGACACTGTGAGGTGTAAACGTTATTCGAGTGAGCGTAGAAAACCCGGTTGTGATAGTGGATTTCTCCCCGGGAGTGGGGAGCGGAGACGTAGGACGGAAGGTCCGAACTCCGTGATCATATAGTGTGTTTGAGTGTGCTTTGGCGTTCATTTATATTTATGTTCATATCTTATATCGCCATTGTCCATAGCTCATTATTTATATGATCCACTATCTTGTTTGTGTATTGCTCATCATATTACCCTATCACTTGTGTAGATTGTTTATTTTACCCTTGTGTTGTTTATATATCCTTGCATATATACATATTCATCACATAGGATATATCTCTTTGTTGTTCATATTATTTATCCTAGCTCATATACATTGTTGTATTTCATACTTGCTAGGATAACTTGTTAATAAATTTTAATTGGCATTTAATCGGATTAGATTAGCATAAGACCCTAATCACCCCCCTCTAGGGTCTAACAGGTTCGGTACGGTTCAGTTCTAACTTCATCAAACTTCTTATCAAACAACAAATTGTGTTAAAGAAAAAAATATCAACAAAGTAGGAGATTATGAAGCATTAAACACTAATATAATGATATTGTTTTCAACCCATAATGATCCAGAAAATGAGTTTAGAGTTTGAGTCTTTGACTCTTTGAGGACGGGTCGGGTAGGGTTTGAAATCAGAATGGGTAGTATTACACTATATTCGGTCGGTTCGAGTTGAAAATATTTCAAACCGACCCGAACCGTCCTACTCATAAAACTGATTTTTTCGGGTCGGTTCGGGTCGGTTCGGTCGGTTTGGACCAAACCATGCTCAGCCCTAATAGGGGTGGACCCAGTCAACAAATAGTCGGGGTTGTGAACCCCGACTATTGTCCTTAGCCGTTTTCACCACTCGGCAACTGGGCCAGAGGTCTCTGCCACATGGTCGGATTTAGGAACCTCGACCATTTTGAAATGGGCTTACGAATTAGTCGGGTTTGCTAACCCCGACCAATTAGACAGGGTCCTAAAATAGTCGGGGTTGGAAACCCCGACTATTTTAGTTATTCCAACCCGACTATTTTAGTTAGCACACAGCTAAATAGTCGTGGTTGGCAACCCCGACATAGCTAAATAGCCGGGGTTGATAACCCCGACTATTTAGAGGCGTCATTAAAAAAAATCGATCCATTTTGTGGCCACGCTGCTGACGTGACCACGAAATGGATCGATTTTGATAAATAAAATGAGAATGAGTCGAATTTTTTAATAAAAAAATAAAATGGGTTTATTTTGAAAATTTGTTCATAACGCAAACCTCCCATGGACACCCCCTCCTCACTCTATAAACCCAGCCTCCCACTTTCTCTCCCTCGAAAAGTCCCCAAAAGCTCAGATTCTCAACAATGGCAGACAAAGTGGACGCCGAAACCCTAGACGCAGTCCGCTCCGTCGTCTTCAAAGAATCCGAAACCCTAGAAGACAAAAACTTCACCAGAATCAGCGGCTACGATTTCAACAAAGGGGTGGATCTCGTGGGCCTCATCTCCTCCATGGCCTCCACTGGATTCCAAGCCTCCAATCTCGGCGACGCCATCCAAGTCGTCAACCAAATGGTAGGAATATTGAGTTTATTGAATAAAGATGGAAACTTTCTTGGTTTTTTTTCCAAGATATTTTCCCTCCCAAAACTAAAAATTTATAAAATTAGTCTCATAAAATCCGTTACTTTCGCCAATTTGGGGCAAACTAAAGTAACTGTAGCTAGTTTTTTCCGACATTTTCCAAACACATGAAAATTTACACATCGGACATAAAAGGTGCACTCAAGAACATGTCATATATGTGGGTTTTAGTGGATTTAGACGGCGTTGTTGCCTTTAGATAGTTAGAAGTTAGGGGTTGAACTTGAAAGCAAGTCTACATCCAGAAAATATAAAAACTAATTGCTTTTACTTTTTTTTCGGTGATTGCGATTAAAGTTCCATTCTTTTTGCTCAAACGTTTTGAAGTTAGATTGGAGACTGTCCCATGAGGAAGTGGCGGAAGATTGCAGTGAAGAGGAAAGAGATCCTAGCTTCAGAGAGTCTGTGAAGTGCAAAATCTTTTTGGGGTTTACTTCGAATCTGATATCATCTGGGGTTAGGGATATTATTCGGTTTCTTTTGGAGCATCGGATGGTGAGTGGTCCAACTTCATATTATTTATTTAGAAAGTTTTTTGTTTGATCACTTACTATGGTACTTGATTTGAATGCTTTACTGACAAGAGTGATTGAAACTAATCTTGACTTCTTCGGGTCTTCACTAGCGTGTGATTTATAGGTATGGTGGTTTGAAGTTTTTTGGTGGGTTAGAAGTGATGATGCCTAAACTTAGCAACCCACTAATAGAAGCAAAAGTATCTTGTTACTGTCTTGAAGAATCTCAAAGCATCAAGAACCAAAGCCCTCAACACCTAGAAATATATAGAAGCAAAAAAGATTCCTTGAAAATAATAAAACTTGTGATCAGTAGACAATTAAACAATTATCTCAGAAAAATTTCTCTGGTGAGCACGTCTGCTGTTACCATGTTGGGATGGTGTTCTAGGACACTCCATACAAGAAAACAAAGTTTAATGGAGGGGATGGGCTTTTAGCTCTACTTCACTTCTATTAGCACCTCCCTTTTACTTTTATACAAAAAAAATGAAATTCAGTAGCACCTCCCTTTTACTTTTATTAAAAAATTATATATATTTAGTTTCATACTCATTATACCTCTAGGTGTTTATGCTTTTGTTCTAGCTTCAGCATTAAACTTCTCAGTTTTTCGATGTTTGTTAGATGTCATATCAAGAATGGTGATAATAAAGTTGTTTCATCTGTAGGTTGATGTTCTGGTTACAACAGCTGGTGGTATTGAGGAGGACCTTATCAAATGTCTTGCACCAACATATAAAGGTGATTTTTCTCTATCTGGCACCTTTCTGCGATCAAAGGGATTAAATCGGATTGGAAACCTATTGGTGCCTAATGACAATTACTGCAAATTTGAGGATTGGATTAATCCAATTCTTAACAAGATGTTAGAAGAACAATCTTCAAAGGTAATATTTGGATGCCATATTAACATATTTTAAGATGTTAGAAATGATCACAATGTTTACCTAACTCTAGCTGAATAATTTTGTCCGCTGCATATTGATCATAGTCAATTATGTTATTCTGAGCTCCAAGTTTATCCTGAATCTACATTTTTCTTCCATAAAATCGACAAGATTAGGGAAGTGAGGGAGCATACGGAACCTAACTTGTTTAATAAGTTTTTCTAATATCCATATCCACTCTGCTAATGAACATCCGCCATAATTCTGACATCCTCCTCACTCTAGTGTTTTTCCATTAACTTGGGTCAGGCGTAGAGTCAGCCTGGAAAAAGACAAAGTTAAGAAGCTTAAAAAATGATATAAACAAAATGTGGTGGCCATGTCAACTCTATATTAGTTGTGTCAAGGTTGCTGACTTGAATAACTATAAGCAATGGAGAACCTTGTCATTGAAAAGGTAAAATTGGTGGCCAAATAGAGATGTGAGCTGTAGTGTTGTTGCTATAGGAAATCATCATATGTTTCAGTGCCAAGCCCGAAGCTGAAGATCCTAAGGAATCACATAAGCAGATCCTAGATGGCCTTTGCCGGTTATGTTAGCTGTTGCATCTTCTGTCTAAACACATTGACATCTTCTAAAAGATGCAAATTTCAGTTTTCCGAGCACATTCATGTACTTCGAAGACATGCATTTGAGTGAAATAAAAGCTGTCACATCCTTTTCCATGGATTTACATGTAAATGAGCCTCTTAAACCATCTCATGGCAAAGCTCAAAGGTTGCTTTGGAAAGCTTGCAATCTTCCTTGTTAAGGGTGTAAGATTGTGGCTGGAAGGAGATGTTTTTGGTGTGATCCACTGGCTTCTCATAAGCAAGACAGGTGGCTTTGCTAAGCAACTTCATTGGATATATATAGATGTAGTCTCTACGGCTTGAGGAATACAATGTATCACATATACCCGGAAGGGAATCTCCTGTAGATCACACAGTTAAAGAAAGATCTTTGGAACAAACTTGGAGTACTATAAGAATGATGTACTATCTGAACTAGCTACGTTCCCAAAAAGAAAACTACGAGAACTTCAGCATGTTAAGGCAGATTCATTGGGGATCCTTTCGGCTCAGTGAGAGAAAAATAGAATTTTTTTTTAAAGAACCTCTTATAGTGGCCTCCTATGCATGTGTCTATCTCCCTTCCTCCATTCCTGACCTGACTACCAACTAAGCTACTGATCTGTCAGTATTACCAAGCTACCTATCTATTTAAATACTTGATAATTAAGAAGGATTTTCACCATAGGCAAGTACTTTGCGTGTTTCATTCTATTTCAAGCACGAAATTGTTTCACATTTTCACAAAGATGCGTAGGTTTTACTTGTCATTAACATATTCTTTACAAAACCACAATGTAAAGAGGACAAGCTAAATCTCTTTGTATTAATGATTCCTGTTCTATTTCAAATTCATGATATAGGTATAAATTTTTACTTTGATATCCTTTTAATATCTTTATTATTGACTCTTGGTATCGCTTAATCTCTCAGAATACAGTTTGGACACCATCAAAGGTGATTGCTCGCCTTGGCAAGGAAATAAATGATAAAAGCTCATACTTGTACTGGGCTTATAAGGTAATTCTCTAGTGTATTAGTATTTATGTAGGAGCCTTAATAAGACTATGAAATTGTTTTACATTGTTTCTTGTCACGCTGATGCTTTCTATTTTCTAAAATAAACTTTGTGCAGAACATGAGGAACATTTTGCAAACCTTAGAAACAGCACATTAACTTTCAATTGAACAGATAAATTATTAGACCATAGATAAACATGCCTATCAGACAAATTGGTTTCTCGCAATATTTGAGATTTTTCTTGAATTCTTTTTGCTCATGTAATACGGTAATAGCTAGCATTAACGTTTCAACTTATCGGGACACACATAATGGAAGCATGCTTCTTGACAATCATCAAAATTCGAACATATGGAAGTTTTTCAACAAGCATACATCTTTAATTTGTAAACTAATAAATGTCTCCTCGGTCAGGAATTTGATGACAGGTTAGAGTGCTGACTTCAGTTGTGCTTAGCTGGCATTAAGTCGATTTTGATCGGAAAAAGATATGGATTTGATGATGAAACTTGCTTTCAGTCTGATAGAATTTTTGTTCACTCAGGACTCCATGTTTCGACTTTCGTGTCTATTAAGTAAGGATTTGTACTGGAAGTCCATATTTAATTAAAGAACGATACTGATATATGGTATTAGTTTTGTGCGATTGAGAGTTGTGCTCCCTACTGACTCTGGTTTATCCGTTGTTTCCCTTCTTCTGCAATATACTCTTCAAAAGCATTTTGCTTTACTAGTGTATGATACTTATTAGAAAGTAATGTAATATTTTTTGGTCCGTATAGTCACTCAAGGTACATATATCTCTCGATTTAATTAGTGACAAAATATTCCATAAAAATTGAAAAGTCAAAGGTATGTTCCATATATATAAAAAACACAGTAAATTTTGTAAAACACCTGTTAACTTTGACCCATTTTGAGACAACCTCCCTCAACTTTATAAATGTCTCTTAACCCTCCCAAATGGTTTCAGTTTTTGCAACTAATCCCCTGACAGCGTTACACGCAATTCAAAGGTTTTTTTGTTAGGGGTATTTTAGTCATTTGATCGCATGTGATTTTCACGTACGAAGTCAGACCTAACTTAGATTGGGGGCTATACAGAAAAACTTAGAATGGCCCAAAACTTAATATGGGCTTGTGAAATTTATCCTAAAAATATGATGTGTTAATTTTAGTATATAGGTTAGCATTATGCAACTGTATTGTTAAAAAGACGCATCTGCTTGTGAGATGTCTATACTTATATGATTATATCTATTTGCGAACACCATTCTTTACTTTAACTATTATCTATTATATTATAATATAATCAAACATGTCTTTGCTTGTGCTTTTGTAAGGTTTGTGTCCTGTATATGTCTCATACTCCTAGATGGCTACAAATGCCTAGCTGATATATGGATTGATGTACCGTATCTTCATGAAATTTGGCCTCATGTTTTCCCTTTTTAGTTTCTTTTTAATTTTTATGTGATGATAAGCTTTCTTTCTTTTCCCTCCTCAGAGGCTACATAACTCTTGCAGTTGCCATCTTTTGAAAATACCTCTTGTTTTCTTCTTTTTTGTCTACTTTGGTGCATATTTAGCAACTATAACTTTCTACAAGTGTCGAGCAGTAGAACAACTCCATACGTTTCCTGGCCTTTCTTGCTTAAAACAAACAATAGAGATACATGTTTGATGGCCGTATATCCATGTTTTTTAGTATTAGTACCAAGTCTAAATCATATGATTGACAATTATATGCTATTTTTGGTGCTAGTCATACTCTTTAACTATATATCTGAGTCATCTGACACATTGCTTTGGCAGAATGGCATTCCAGTCTATTGCCCTGCACTAACTGATGGCTCTCTAGGGGATATGCTGTACTGCCATTCAATACGCAGTCCTGGTTTGCTTATTGATATTGTGCAAGGTACAACATAACTACGTCAATTGGATTATATTTTCGTTGAAATTGTTATTTCTTGAGGAAGATCATTTCATCGTTCAGATATACGAGCCATTAATGAGGAAGCTGTTCGTGCTGGCCTTAGAAAAACTGGAATGATTATTCTGGGTGGTGGGCTACCAAAGCACCACATATATAACGCCAACATGATGCGTAATGGTGCAGATTTTGCTGTTATTATCAACACAGCTCAGGAGTTTGATGGGAGTGATTCTGGAGCACAACCTGATGAAGCAGTTTCATGGGGGAAAATAAGAGGATCTGCGAAAAGTATAAAAGTATATTTCTTGACCGAAAATCTCAGTTACACCCTCTTTTCACAATTTTTTTAATCAAGGGTTGTAGGAGCTGATTTTTGTAGAGATTAATGTGACAACTAAATCAATTAAACGGTCCTTCATAATCTTCCAATTTGTCTAGACTCTAGCCTTGAGACAAAGTTTAAAGAGGCATGCAATCACAATTGTCTTCATTTAAGCAAACTTAACAATAATCAATATGGTCTCTTATGAAATCTGAAACAACTTGCAGATATGACAACATGTAGTATCTCTGCAGCGTACTACCAGTATTACGAGGAAAACTGTGGAATATATGAGTCACAGTTAAGTCATTGTAAGCTTGACTTAAAGTATTAGTTGTTAGAAAAACAGCTAGACGAGTTCCTCGTTTAGTTTCCTCCAAAGGGTTGATTAAGTTCCTTATTTTACCTGGATATGGATTTCTTAGTTTTGATAATTAATAATGAGAAATATGATCTATTCTCTTGTACGAGCTCCTTTTATATGTTGTATTATCCAGCATCTGCTTTGGATATAGTAGCACTTTCAACAGTTTTCAGTTAACATTACTTTATGAAGTTTGTGAAATGTTTGCATACGATTTTTATTTTCGGTTGGGGCGTCATTCTTTGCATGTCTTTGTTGCTTCTTCATAAAATTTAAGTTTCTCGCATCGTGTGATCATTTTTTCATTCTCAATGAAAAGCTGACTTTTCCGGTTAGAAATTAGCGAGCTGCCTTAGATTTTGCAATGCTTCCCGGAGTTCATTTTGGACATGCACCCCAGCAATGAACTCTACTTCTAGAAACAATACCTGGAGTCTGGAAATCTCTACAACATGTAATGATCCCCTTTTGTTGTTGAATAATATATAACCCTTACTGATGACTCCTTATTCCATGAATCCAGGTACATTGTGATGCTACAATTGCTTTTCCTCTGCTGGTGGCTGCAACATTTGCACAGAGGACAAAATGACTACAAAGGGACAGTAGGTATATGAGTACATCCACAGTGACATCGAAGAGGAGTAAAATAACTGCTGAGCGTTCGTTGGTATTATATCAGCCGAATTTATTGCTGCGGTTTTGAGAGATGGAATATCAAACAGTTGGTATAACTCCACTGGAAGCATTGACAGTCTCAGATAGAAATATTATGATGTATTTATACGGCGTGATGAGGAGTTTGTGGATCGATGAAGTGTTAATTGATGATAAGCATTGCATTTTTTTTTAATTTTTGGGGGTATTATGGAGGTATTATTGTTTCCTTGGAGATCCCGAGTTATGTACAATTATTTATATATAATTCTAGAAAGAATTATGCATGTTGATAAGGTACGTACATTTTGAATGTACATGTTTACTTTTGAACTTGTTATGTAGTACATCGTCTCGTGAAACAAAACAAACTTAGGGGCTGAGTTATAAGGAAGCGCAAGTATATATTTTATATGGTACATGTTTGCTTAGTGAGGTTGATCTGGTCTAAGGCCAATTTGGCAATACATACTCCATGGAACTATCAAGTAGCAACAACATTTCTTTGCATTAATAGACATTTATCATAACTAGTAGAAACTTCAGTGCGTCATCATACAAATTGTGTATCGTCATGCAAATTGTGTGCATCTTAATGTGGGGATATATAACAGAAAATATTGAAGTGTAAATTTTGAAAACTTCAGGTCATACGCAGCTATTGTAAAAATAAGTGAAGATATATAAGTGCAAGTTGAGGAAAGCTCTGAAGCACTTACGTGCTGATTAGCCTTTGTAATTAAGACAAAATGTTAATTTACATTTTTTAAATGATGACATACATGCTTTTCAATAATATTGCATTACATCTATCTATACCATCCCATCCGATCCATATAGGTTTTTTTTAATGAAGCTTGTTTAATAGCTAAATATCAGAAAACTCTCCTTAACTTTGGACAAATATTAGATAATGCTCCGTAACGTAATAAATATCAGAACCCCACCACCAAAAAAAAAAAAAAAAAAAAAAAAAAAAAAAACTTTCGTGGCCACGCTGCTGACGTGGTCACGAAATGGGTTGATTTTGATAAATAAAATGAGAATGAGTCGAATTTTTTAATAAAAAAATAAAATGGGTTTATTTTGAAAATTTGTTCAAATATCAAAACATGAAGATTTGGAGGACTAGTAAAAATACTGATGAACGAAAAAAAAAACATTGATTTACGAACTATAATGACAATTAAAATGAAAAAAATAACTCTTGCTAGTTTAATTGGTTTGTCCAACCATTGAAGCCCTCAAAAGGTAAACCATCGGATTATAGAAGCCCTCAGCTTTGTGGCTTAGGGGCTGTTTGGATAGGTTTTTTTGGGTGGTAAAAGAGGAGAAAGCTGTCAAAAATGTCAGCTTTTTGGCAGCTTTCCCCCAAAATCACCTTTTTAAGGGGTGATTTTGGGGGAAAGCTGCCAAAAAGCTGACATTTTTGGCAGCTTTCCCTATTTTTACCACCCAAAAAAAAGGAACCAAACAGCCCCTTATAGCGTTGAAAAGGAAAATTAAAATAGCTAAAAGAGGCCGTGGCGGGTTGGGTGGCCCCAGTCTTGGGGTCAGACCCGACCCGCGTTATGCCTCAATTTCCACCCGCAGGTGATCCGATTCGATTCTGATCACTACTCCCTCGTTCTTACTCACCGTCAATTTGCTTCGCTCTTGCGAGGTAAGCGCGCTCATCTTTCCCCAGTTTTCTTTTGTTTTTCATTGGAATCGTCCTCTAGAATTACTTTATTCAACCGTTGCGTTAACTCTCGTAATCCAATTACTCCAAACCCTAGCGTTCACAATTTGATGACGTAGAGTGATCGTAATATTTATGGATTCATCTCTACCACTCTAATTTATTTCGTCAAATAAATTAAATATATGCGTTTGATTAATCATGAAATATACGCAGAGTTTTCTTTCTTTTCTTTTTTTTGGGTTTAAATTTGGATTTAAAGGTGAGTATTTCTTTCTAACTGGAGATTCTTTTCCAGATTGTGCAAAAGATTGTACATTGACTTTTACCAACTTTCATAATGGCTTCTTCCAAAAGAGGAGGGCAAAAATTAGCCTTGACATGTGGAAAGGATGTCCTTCAATTTGTTGAACTTTGATTTTGGATAGAGCGATATGCGGTTAAATATGAGTGATAGGTTGATAAGAGCCCATAGGATCTAATCTCAGCTGGGTTGGGAGCCATATACGTATTCTCAATAGCTTACTAATCAAGTATAAGACAGACAAATAGTTCAGAAGAGGGGGTTCACGTGTGATTAGATTCATGAGAACTGAGAAGGCCCGATAAGTATTCTGGCAGTGGTATAAAACTATAAAACTGAATTTTGATGCGCTTCTATGAATTTCCACAATGTGTAAGCGCTATTAAAAGAATCAAGCTTGTTAGATATAGATGAATCAAATGCATTTAATAAAAATTCTAATACAAACTTGTTCATTGTATACATTTCCTTATCATTTTTACTCCACTTGAATTTCTTCAAAGTGAGCACAACATAAGCATGATCAATGACTCCCCACAAATCGATATTTTTAGATCTAACAAATAGCTTAAATCTAAAACACCATTGAACATAGGAAAAACATTGAGTTTAGGAGTAACACTAGGATCATAGCCTAAAAAAGATGAAACTCCACTTGAATTTCTTCAAAGTGAGCACAACATAAGCATGATCAATGACTCCCCACAAATCGATATTTTTAGATCTAACAAATAGCTTAAATCTAAAACACCATTGAACATAGGAAAAACATTGAGTTTAGGAGTAACACTAGGATCATAGCCTAAAAAAGATGCACCATTCATATCCATGATAAACCAATTCTTAACAAGATGTTAGAAGAACAATCTTCAAAGGTAATATTTGGATGCCATATTAACATATTTTAAGATGTTAGAAATGATCACAATGTTTACCTAACTCTAGCTGAATAATTTTGTCCGCTGCATATTGATCATAGTCAATTATGTTATTCTGAGCTCCAAGTTTATCCTGAATCTACATTTTTCTTCCATAAAATCGACAAGATTAGGGAAGTGAGGGAGCATACGGAACCTAACTTGTTTAATAAGTTTTTCTAATATCCATATCCACTCTGCTAATGAACATCCGCCATAATTCTGACATCCTCCTCACTCTAGTGTTTTTCCATTAACTTGGGTCAGGCGTAGAGTCAGCCTGGAAAAAGACAAAGTTAAGAAGCTTAAAAAATGATATAAACAAAATGTGGTGGCCATGTCAACTCTATATTAGTTGTGTCAAGGTTGCTGACTTGAATAACTATAAGCAATGGAGAACCTTGTCATTGAAAAGGTAAAATTGGTGGCCAAATAGAGATGTGAGCTGTAGTGTTGTTGCTATAGGAAATCATCATATGTTTCAGTGCCAAGCCCGAAGCTGAAGATCCTAAGGAATCACATAAGCAGATCCTAGATGGCCTTTGCCGGTTATGTTAGCTGTTGCATCTTCTGTCTAAACACATTGACATCTTCTAAAAGATGCAAATTTCAGTTTTCCGAGCACATTCATGTACTTCGAAGACATGCATTTGAGTGAAATAAAAGCTGTCACATCCTTTTCCATGGATTTACATGTAAATGAGCCTCTTAAACCATCTCATGGCAAAGCTCAAAGGTTGCTTTGGAAAGCTTGCAATCTTCCTTGTTAAGGGTGTAAGATTGTGGCTGGAAGGAGATGTTTTTGGTGTGATCCACTGGCTTCTCATAAGCAAGACAGGTGGCTTTGCTAAGCAACTTCATTGGATATATATAGATGTAGTCTCTACGGCTTGAGGAATACAATGTATCACATATACCCGGAAGGGAATCTCCTGTAGATCACACAGTTAAAGAAAGATCTTTGGAACAAACTTGGAGTACTATAAGAATGATGTACTATCTGAACTAGCTACGTTCCCAAAAAGAAAACTACGAGAACTTCAGCATGTTAAGGCAGATTCATTGGGGATCCTTTCGGCTCAGTGAGAGAAAAATAGAATTTTTTTTTAAAGAACCTCTTATAGTGGCCTCCTATGCATGTGTCTATCTCCCTTCCTCCATTCCTGACCTGACTACCAACTAAGCTACTGATCTGTCAGTATTACCAAGCTACCTATCTATTTAAATACTTGATAATTAAGAAGGATTTTCACCATAGGCAAGTACTTTGCGTGTTTCATTCTATTTCAAGCACGAAATTGTTTCACATTTTCACAAAGATGCGTAGGTTTTACTTGTCATTAACATATTCTTTACAAAACCACAATGTAAAGAGGACAAGCTAAATCTCTTTGTATTAATGATTCCTGTTCTATTTCAAATTCATGATATAGGTATAAATTTTTACTTTGATATCCTTTTAATATCTTTATTATTGACTCTTGGTATCGCTTAATCTCTCAGAATACAGTTTGGACACCATCAAAGGTGATTGCTCGCCTTGGCAAGGAAATAAATGATAAAAGCTCATACTTGTACTGGGCTTATAAGGTAATTCTCTAGTGTATTAGTATTTATGTAGGAGCCTTAATAAGACTATGAAATTGTTTTACATTGTTTCTTGTCACGCTGATGCTTTCTATTTTCTAAAATAAACTTTGTGCAGAACATGAGGAACATTTTGCAAACCTTAGAAACAGCACATTAACTTTCAATTGAACAGATAAATTATTAGACCATAGATAAACATGCCTATCAGACAAATTGGTTTCTCGCAATATTTGAGATTTTTCTTGAATTCTTTTTGCTCATGTAATACGGTAATAGCTAGCATTAACGTTTCAACTTATCGGGACACACATAATGGAAGCATGCTTCTTGACAATCATCAAAATTCGAACATATGGAAGTTTTTCAACAAGCATACATCTTTAATTTGTAAACTAATAAATGTCTCCTCGGTCAGGAATTTGATGACAGGTTAGAGTGCTGACTTCAGTTGTGCTTAGCTGGCATTAAGTCGATTTTGATCGGAAAAAGATATGGATTTGATGATGAAACTTGCTTTCAGTCTGATAGAATTTTTGTTCACTCAGGACTCCATGTTTCGACTTTCGTGTCTATTAAGTAAGGATTTGTACTGGAAGTCCATATTTAATTAAAGAACGATACTGATATATGGTATTAGTTTTGTGCGATTGAGAGTTGTGCTCCCTACTGACTCTGGTTTATCCGTTGTTTCCCTTCTTCTGCAATATACTCTTCAAAAGCATTTTGCTTTACTAGTGTATGATACTTATTAGAAAGTAATGTAATATTTTTTGGTCCGTATAGTCACTCAAGGTACATATATCTCTCGATTTAATTAGTGACAAAATATTCCATAAAAATTGAAAAGTCAAAGGTATGTTCCATATATATAAAAAACACAGTAAATTTTGTAAAACACCTGTTAACTTTGACCCATTTTGAGACAACCTCCCTCAACTTTATAAATGTCTCTTAACCCTCCCAAATGGTTTCAGTTTTTGCAACTAATCCCCTGACAGCGTTACACGCAATTCAAAGGTTTTTTTGTTAGGGGTATTTTAGTCATTTGATCGCATGTGATTTTCACGTACGAAGTCAGACCTAACTTAGATTGGGGGCTATACAGAAAAACTTAGAATGGCCCAAAACTTAATATGGGCTTGTGAAATTTATCCTAAAAATATGATGTGTTAATTTTAGTATATAGGTTAGCATTATGCAACTGTATTGTTAAAAAGACGCATCTGCTTGTGAGATGTCTATACTTATATGATTATATCTATTTGCGAACACCATTCTTTACTTTAACTATTATCTATTATATTATAATATAATCAAACATGTCTTTGCTTGTGCTTTTGTAAGGTTTGTGTCCTGTATATGTCTCATACTCCTAGATGGCTACAAATGCCTAGCTGATATATGGATTGATGTACCGTATCTTCATGAAATTTGGCCTCATGTTTTCCCTTTTTAGTTTCTTTTTAATTTTTATGTGATGATAAGCTTTCTTTCTTTTCCCTCCTCAGAGGCTACATAACTCTTGCAGTTGCCATCTTTTGAAAATACCTCTTGTTTTCTTCTTTTTTGTCTACTTTGGTGCATATTTAGCAACTATAACTTTCTACAAGTGTCGAGCAGTAGAACAACTCCATACGTTTCCTGGCCTTTCTTGCTTAAAACAAACAATAGAGATACATGTTTGATGGCCGTATATCCATGTTTTTTAGTATTAGTACCAAGTCTAAATCATATGATTGACAATTATATGCTATTTTTGGTGCTAGTCATACTCTTTAACTATATATCTGAGTCATCTGACACATTGCTTTGGCAGAATGGCATTCCAGTCTATTGCCCTGCACTAACTGATGGCTCTCTAGGGGATATGCTGTACTGCCATTCAATACGCAGTCCTGGTTTGCTTATTGATATTGTGCAAGGTACAACATAACTACGTCAATTGGATTATATTTTCGTTGAAATTGTTATTTCTTGAGGAAGATCATTTCATCGTTCAGATATACGAGCCATTAATGAGGAAGCTGTTCGTGCTGGCCTTAGAAAAACTGGAATGATTATTCTGGGTGGTGGGCTACCAAAGCACCACATATATAACGCCAACATGATGCGTAATGGTGCAGATTTTGCTGTTATTATCAACACAGCTCAGGAGTTTGATGGGAGTGATTCTGGAGCACAACCTGATGAAGCAGTTTCATGGGGGAAAATAAGAGGATCTGCGAAAAGTATAAAAGTATATTTCTTGACCGAAAATCTCAGTTACACCCTCTTTTCACAATTTTTTTAATCAAGGGTTGTAGGAGCTGATTTTTGTAGAGATTAATGTGACAACTAAATCAATTAAACGGTCCTTCATAATCTTCCAATTTGTCTAGACTCTAGCCTTGAGACAAAGTTTAAAGAGGCATGCAATCACAATTGTCTTCATTTAAGCAAACTTAACAATAATCAATATGGTCTCTTATGAAATCTGAAACAACTTGCAGATATGACAACATGTAGTATCTCTGCAGCGTACTACCAGTATTACGAGGAAAACTGTGGAATATATGAGTCACAGTTAAGTCATTGTAAGCTTGACTTAAAGTATTAGTTGTTAGAAAAACAGCTAGACGAGTTCCTCGTTTAGTTTCCTCCAAAGGGTTGATTAAGTTCCTTATTTTACCTGGATATGGATTTCTTAGTTTTGATAATTAATAATGAGAAATATGATCTATTCTCTTGTACGAGCTCCTTTTATATGTTGTATTATCCAGCATCTGCTTTGGATATAGTAGCACTTTCAACAGTTTTCAGTTAACATTACTTTATGAAGTTTGTGAAATGTTTGCATACGATTTTTATTTTCGGTTGGGGCGTCATTCTTTGCATGTCTTTGTTGCTTCTTCATAAAATTTAAGTTTCTCGCATCGTGTGATCATTTTTTCATTCTCAATGAAAAGCTGACTTTTCCGGTTAGAAATTAGCGAGCTGCCTTAGATTTTGCAATGCTTCCCGGAGTTCATTTTGGACATGCACCCCAGCAATGAACTCTACTTCTAGAAACAATACCTGGAGTCTGGAAATCTCTACAACATGTAATGATCCCCTTTTGTTGTTGAATAATATATAACCCTTACTGATGACTCCTTATTCCATGAATCCAGGTACATTGTGATGCTACAATTGCTTTTCCTCTGCTGGTGGCTGCAACATTTGCACAGAGGACAAAATGACTACAAAGGGACAGTAGGTATATGAGTACATCCACAGTGACATCGAAGAGGAGTAAAATAACTGCTGAGCGTTCGTTGGTATTATATCAGCCGAATTTATTGCTGCGGTTTTGAGAGATGGAATATCAAACAGTTGGTATAACTCCACTGGAAGCATTGACAGTCTCAGATAGAAATATTATGATGTATTTATACGGCGTGATGAGGAGTTTGTGGATCGATGAAGTGTTAATTGATGATAAGCATTGCATTTTTTTTTAATTTTTGGGGGTATTATGGAGGTATTATTGTTTCCTTGGAGATCCCGAGTTATGTACAATTATTTATATATAATTCTAGAAAGAATTATGCATGTTGATAAGGTACGTACATTTTGAATGTACATGTTTACTTTTGAACTTGTTATGTAGTACATCGTCTCGTGAAACAAAACAAACTTAGGGGCTGAGTTATAAGGAAGCGCAAGTATATATTTTATATGGTACATGTTTGCTTAGTGAGGTTGATCTGGTCTAAGGCCAATTTGGCAATACATACTCCATGGAACTATCAAGTAGCAACAACATTTCTTTGCATTAATAGACATTTATCATAACTAGTAGAAACTTCAGTGCGTCATCATACAAATTGTGTATCGTCATGCAAATTGTGTGCATCTTAATGTGGGGATATATAACAGAAAATATTGAAGTGTAAATTTTGAAAACTTCAGGTCATACGCAGCTATTGTAAAAATAAGTGAAGATATATAAGTGCAAGTTGAGGAAAGCTCTGAAGCACTTACGTGCTGATTAGCCTTTGTAATTAAGACAAAATGTTAATTTACATTTTTTAAATGATGACATACATGCTTTTCAATAATATTGCATTACATCTATCTATACCATCCCATCCGATCCATATAGGTTTTTTTTAATGAAGCTTGTTTAATAGCTAAATATCAGAAAACTCTCCTTAACTTTGGACAAATATTAGATAATGCTCCGTAACGTAATAAATATCAGAACCCCACCACCAAAAAAAAAAAAAAAAAAAAAAACCAAAAAAAAAACCCCTTTTTAAAGTTTAGAGGTAATCAAATATGTCATTTAGCTTTGAGATTTTATCAGAAAACTTTTATGAGGGTTCTCTAATAAAATCTCAAAGCTAGGAAGGGTTTTTTTTTTTTGGTGGGGTGGGGGTTGCGTTTCTCATTAAATCCTAAAGCTAAAGGAGTTTTGTAATAACCCCTATACTTAAGGGGGGTTTTGTCACATTTTTAAAGTTATAGGTGGTTATATCATAATCATCGCAAGTTAAGGGGGGTTTTCTGATATTTAATTAATAATCTCTAATTTAATGCGGATGACACCATAATTGTATACTTACACAATTTTGGCAATTAGAGCATCTAAAAGAGATCACAATAATTTTGTCACATTTTTAAAGTTATAGGTGGTTATATCATAATCATCGCAAGTTAATTTTTTTTATATTTAATTAATAATCTCTAATTTACTGTGGTCGACACTATAATTGTATAATTACACAATTTTGACAATTTTAGAGCATCTCAAAGACATCACAATAAATTATTATCTATTATTGACTTATTGTCCTTTGCTCGTTTCATTCTCTTTCATTTCCAAAAAAGAGAACAAATTTTCTAGGCCTTCTATCCCTTTGTTCAATAAATTAAACAAAAGAGAAGCTGCCCTTCAATTACTCTCTTTTTCTTTTTTACTAAAAAAAGGGAAAAAAATTAATGGGTCCATTTTCTTCCACTACTCTTCCTATGTTTTAGCCATGGTGCAAAAAAAGTACCATTAAAACTCCATTTTTTTGCTTCTATTTCCTGTTTTCCCACCAAAAATTTCGTTAAAAGCTTCGACTTTTACGAAATTTTTGACGGGAAAATTCAATCTTTTATGTAACAATCTCTTATTTATGTCAAATTAGTTCGGCAGAAAGAGAGACTTGAGATCCAGAGAAGGGAAAAAATCATAAATTTCAGTAAGATTTTCTTTTCTATTGTTGCTGTTCATGTGATATTAGTTTCATTTAGATCATTTAGATCCTATCTAAATTTTGCTGATGTTCTGGTAATTTTGCTGCATTATTTGAAGTTGGAGTTATTTGCCTGTAATTTATGTAAATTAATTAAAAATTTCTTGATATTTTCAGTCCATATTTTAGCCCTCATTAGATTTCTTAGACTAAGCACAAGATGATGTTCTCTATTGCATAGTTGCCGTATGATCTTTAGAAACCATTTTTAACCCTCCCTTTGGCATGCATTATAAATTTTTGCACACCCCAGAGGCCTTTATACTAAATTATCTCTATTTTCGTTGTAAATTTACTTCAATGTCTGAAATTGTGGTGATTGCTTGCAATGTACATAAATTAATTATGATTTTCTTGTTATTTTCATTGTATTACATCTTAAATCTGCATGCTTTAGGTCCCCATCAGATTCTTTAGAATTTAATAATTTGACAGAATTATGATCTCCATTGCAGTATTAAAGTTTCAGAGATTTTCTCTTCTGCTGAGATCAAATTATCATCAATCTCATGGGAATGGCTAGACCTCGAAGAATTCGAAACAGGGAGCCAAAAAAACATTCAAATTTCCTATCTCCTCTGTCTTCTGCCTTATCTGAACTTCTATTGATAATCCTATTATACCTTCATGCCCTCTTATCCTATTTAGTCCATAAATTTGCGCGCTGCCGAAAACTCCGAACCCCTTGCATGTTATGCTCAAGGCTTGATCGAAAAACCCCAGATTTCTACAAAGAACTCTTCTGCAATGCTCATAAGCTCGAACTCTCTTCATTGGCAAATAGACCCCCTCTACCAAAGAGATTCCAAAGAAAAAATATCACTGAGAAGTTTGGATATAATGAGTTGAAGTCTGAAGCAGAGTCAGAAGGAATTTGTTCTGTCAATCTTGTGAAGGAGGAATTACTGTCGAGATGTTTGCAATCTGCACCGAAGAATTTTGTTTCAGAGGAGATTATTGTTGAAGAGAAGAGGATAAATCCATCACCGATGTTGGCGGATATCTGTGTTTCTGTTCCTGAGAGAAGGGTTGAAGTTGATGCTCATGGCTTGGAGGAGATTAACTGGAATCAGGTTGAAGTGAAGCCAGCGTCTGAGGTTTTGATTGAACAAGTTCCTGCAGAAAATTTGAGCACAAAATGTAAGGTTATTTCTTTCTTCAAAGTATTGTCCAGATTTCAGTTAATTGCACATAATCCCCCTGTAGGGTAGTTGTTTTGAACTTAACACCCCTCTAGTTTCATAATTGCAGATACACATCCTAGGTTTTTTTTTTTTTGACTCTTTACCCTCAAACAGACTCACTTATTAGCAATATCCGTCAAAATTTCACCTAGGATAAAAAGGTTAATCCAGGGTTTTATCTACAACAAGGAAACTACAGGGGTAGTCAGTTAAAAACAGAT